TTCCAAATTGTTATTGAATATAGTAATGCTTCATTAAATTTTAATGAGTAATTTAGGATTGAAAGCGTATACTTTTGCGCTGTCCGCGATGAACAGCTTATCTGCAGAGTTAAAAAGAAATCGCCCCAATAGAAATGGGTAACAACAATGTACAGGGTTCCAATATTTGACCACAGATAGACACCCAGACTTTGTAACCTATATGCATGATAAATAGGGGAAAACCTGAAGTCGATTTACATAATCTACCTAATCCATACGACTCACCAGACTATTTTCGTACATTGTCGACAATATTGACAAGGAGATTACGGTAAATCGAGCTCTGTAGTCACAATAACAGACTTCAGTTTAAACATGTAAGAAAACCACAGACTTGACGTTTCATGAGGTAAGATGTCCAGCATAAAGACGTCCTTGTTGCTTGTACTAGACCAGGCAAGTTATAAACGTGCGAATTTTAATTTTTATAGATAAATACTAGGATGATGGATGGTACGGTGGTGGAGATTTTAATTTTAGCAACACATCAACGAAATAAAAAAAATAGACATTTTTCATAGATGCTTTGTTCGCAGATACAAAGTTTACAGCCAAAAGTTCACAGCACAAAGTTTACAGACACAAAGTTTACAGATACAAGGTTTACAGACACAAAGTTTACAGATACAAAGTTCACAGACACAAAGTTTACAGACAAAAGTTTACAGATACAAGGTTGACACAAAGTTCACAGCACAAAGTTTACAGACACAAAGTTTACAGACACAAATTTCACAGATACAAAGTTTACAGACACAAAGTTCACAGATACAAAGTTTACAGACTAAACACACATCGCCCACTTCACCCACGGACCACCAAATAACGACGTTTCATCTCGCATTACATCTTGTGTGAGATCGCTTGAAGGTCATCGCAGGTCAGCAGTCCTATCATGAAGGTCACCGCAGGACTGCAGTCCTATCATGAAGGTCACCGCAGGACAGCAGTCCTATCATGAAGGTCACCGCAGGACAGCAGTCCTATCATGAAGGTCACCGCAGGACAGCAGTCCTATCATAAAGGTCACCGCAGGACAGCAGTCCTATCATGAAGGTCACCACAGGACAGCAGTTCTATCATGAAGGTCACCACAGGACAGCAGTTCTATCATGAAGGTCACCACAGGACAGCAGTCCTATCATGAAGGTCACCACAGGACAGCAGTTCTATCATGAAGGTCACCACAGGACAGCAGTTCTATCATGAAGGTCACCACAGGACAGCAGTCCTATCATGAAGGTCACCACAGGACAGCAGTCCTATCATGAAGGTCACCGCAGGACAGCAGTCCTATCATGAAGGTCACCACAGGACAGCATTAGCCATACCTTAATTACCATATTTCCCAGCCTCATATTTTCTTACCAAACACGCCCTCTTCCCGACCCCGGGTCGACCCAGACAGACCCGATCATGTGATTTTTATACTCTTGTGTGATTGGGTATTGATTGGTTGGCATCAGGGCGTGCGCAAGCATGAACAGGCATACCTGTGGTGGGGGCCACATATACACACGGGGGCACGTGAATACACGAGAATATATTATATATATGTTATATATATATATATATATATATATATATATATATATATATATATATATATATATATATATATATATATATATATATATATATATATATATATGTTAGCTATAACATGTGGCTGTGGGCCTGTCCAGTTATCTATAGCGTCCTTGACTTTCACATTCCGATCCTAACGCACGAGCACGAGGGAGGTTAACTGGCATACAACTGGGACACACACAACAGGTTTAGCACAGTAAACACTGCAGAAAATTCAAATTCAAGCACAGCGTTAGGCATGTCTATGGTAACAATTACCAGTTTCAACTGGCGGGGGGGGGGGGGGTCGACAATTAGGAAAAATGTCCTCTTATCGCATTGCGTTTCAATAACTTTTAGAAGGTAATTGAAAACAGAACTGTTCGTTAATTTTTATGTTTACAAATAAAATTAAAGTTCGCTTGTTATACAAATGAAACAGCACAAGTCAGCTGAACCGTGCATTTTAGACTGCTGACTACAGAAAATTCAAATTGATTTTCTGTCGGGGTAGTTTTTTATACAGTTGAATTATTGTCTCCACTGCTAATTTTTTAAAGATTGGGTTTTTTTTAATGGGTCTATTGTTGTACACAGAAATACACAGCACGATTAGGGGTAACAAAATATTACAGAGAATAAAGCGAGTTATACAGGGCTTTTTTAAAATAGTATTTTTTAGAGTAGACTACACCAGTAATCATCAGAGTTTCTTATATAATTTATATAGAAAATATATACTTTTAACAGTGTCGCCCCCCCCCCCCGAAGAAAGTTTACCGCCCCCCCCCCCCAAAATTTCAAGTGCCCCCCCCCCCCCCGGAGAAAAAAGTCTGGAAAAAACACTGGTAATCATAGATTGCTATAATCCGACAAGAAAAGCAAAATGGAAAGCCAAATGACATGAAGTAGCCTATTCTGAGGGCGAACCCAATAAAAGTATGCACATTTTCACAAATCATTCAAAGCGTGGCGCAATAGCAACTAACCATTGCTAAATTCCGTATGTAGTATCAGCTACAGCGTACCACCGTGGAAAGGTGGCTGAAATGGGGAGGGGGGCGACCCCAGGTTAAAATGTTCGAATTAACTTTGTAAATGCTCGTTGTCTAGTTCTATAGGGTTTGCAGTGCATGATGATAAACACGACTTCATTCATTACTGTTATCAGAGAGTGCACAGTCGTTAGTGCTGACGATCTGTGGACACTGAGATATTTCAGCACAATCGTTAGTTTTGAAGCTCTGTGGATACTGGGATATTGAGATATTTCAGCACATTCGTCAGTATTGAAAGCTCTGAGGTCACTGAATGTTCCTAAAGAATGGTTAGTATTGAAGCTCTGTGGATACTGGGATATTGAGATATTTCAGCACATTCGTCAGTATTGAAAGCTCTGAGGTCACTGAATGTTCCTAAAGAATGGTTAGTATTGAAGCTCTGTGGATACTGGGATATTGAGATATTTCAGCACATTCGTCAGTATTGAAAGCTCTGAGGTCACTGAATGTTCCTAAAGAATGGTTAGTTTTGAAGCTCTGTGGATACTGGGATATTGAGATATTTCAGCACATTCGTCAGTATTGAAAGCTCTGTGAACACTGGGAGGTTCCAACACTGTTTAGTGTTAAGTTTTCGTTGAGATCTAGGTTTTTGATAAAGTTCCATTTCAAACCAGAATATCTACCGTGCAAGTGAAGTACAGTTCGACCTCGGCATATGAAGGGATAGTGTGGTCAGCACTATTTTGTATACAATTGTACGTAATATATCCATTGTTTGTCTTCTCCTTTAAAGCAACCATCAATATATAGTAGTGTCAATCGTAAATTTTAACCAATCAAATTAACTGATTATTACGATAGGTGTGACTTTAATCCCGCCGATGATATTAAAATAGTTGCTTCTGCTGTCTGACGAAGACCTGTTGTGTGAGCGTCAGGAATGTTTGTTTATCATGATCAGAAGGTGTTTAGCTTAATCTCTGGTCAAGAGTTCAAATACCTTCTTGGTAACAAAAGCAGGTGTGAGATGTATGTAAACGTGAGGATTATATAACATCTGAATTGTGGGCTATATACAGGTGTAAGGTATCGTATATTAATTGCAGGTGTGGATTATAATTTGAAGATGTAAGGTATATTTTTATCCTGGGCGTTATACAGGCGTGAAAGATACTTTAAGTATGAGCTAGATACAGGTATAGCCTACACTACAATAACGATCATAAAGGTAAATTACTTAAAAGTAAATATAGGCCTACATGGTTAACCTGAAAATTAACGGTTTCTTTCTTAAAGACTATTCTAGTTTGCGTAAGAGTGGGATGTGTGTGTGTGGGGGGGGGAGAGGCTCCAAGTATTGCTTATTTAACATTTTAGGTAGGCTTAAAGTTGTGCAAAAGGATATAAGGACCTAGTCACAAAAGGGCAATATTATATGAGACTTGTAACAACATGTCGCACTGTACCGTACTTATATAGTAGCCTCACATTTTTAACTTAGCAGTGTTTTTTATTACTATTTGTATTATATAATGGATCTAAAATATAGGCCTAACAATACAATTAACTAATAATTAGTTAATTATTGATCAATTCTATCGACAAAAAACTAATATTGTCAGTTATAAGGCCTAATTATCACTAATTGAATTAGGCCTAGAGTATTTTTTTTATAATCAGTGTTAATCACAATATAAAATGTGTTAACTCATTAAATTCTATTTTATACCAAATAAAAAGTAATATCTATTATCTAGTCGTCCTAAAAAATGGAAATTACAGGACTTAAATATATCTACATTCTATTAATGTTAATTAGCAATTAGGCTAACTGATTTTGGTATTTTAATGACTAGACTCTCGACGAGATTTAAGAAAGAGCAACTAAAGAATTACAGAAGAAATATTTAACTAACACCTTTTCTATAATTATTAGGCCTAATTAATATCATTCTATCATCCATAACTTAATCTCATTGATAGTTTTTTTTCTTCTTCATTTTTATCAACGAATCTACAAGGTCGACAGATTGTGGGCCAAATTAGGATGACTGACTCATTCGCCACCTCTCATTTCACCGGCTGAAGCTATTCAATACTTATTAAATTTGGCTGCGGTTGTAAATCTATTTTTAGATCGTACCTTATGTACTCTAGGAAATTATCCGTAACGTTGAACGTCCACGTTTCAAAACAAGCTTCAAAGACCAAGATCCTAACGACATCATAATGCGTTCAGTCTAGCCCCCTTTCCCCCCTTTTATCCAGGTGAAGTTTGCCTGTGCACAGTAAATACCTAAACCACAACAGATACGGCGTGATGTCACTAATCGTAGCTAACCTTCTTGAAAACGAAAATAGAAAATGAACACATCTACTGCGTACCTGTGCTTGTGAGTTATCCGTATCAATGGCGATTCTTTAAGCCTTCGTCTCTGAGAAATCACATATTTAATCCAACATGAAAAATGCAGACACGGCACACGAATGGTTTAGCCTTAAGGCCTGTAGCAAAAAGTAGGCCAAAACCGAAAGAATCATAGGCACACAACAATAAACCCGTCCGACATACGCCGTCTGCCGTTTCTGCGCCCCGTTGGCTACGCTCCGTCACGTGACTGCGGGCAGCCATTCACAGCGCGAGGTCACGGCAACGCCAAGCCTTACTGGATTGATGAAATAGCAGAGGGTAAAAAAGTGAGAGAGAGAGAGAAGGGGCGAAGGTGGGTGGAAGAACGCGAGGCATACAAGCCAAAACTACAAGAGATTCTCTTAGTAGGAAAACAGAGCCGTTGTAGGCAGCAGCTTTTGTTTTACAGTAGATCTAGTAGACAACAGCATTTTCACTCGAAGACAAAAGCATTCTTCATTGGTAAACAGCAGCATTTTACATTTGTAGACAACAGCTTTTTACATTTGCAGTATTTTTTCATTTGTATGCAGCTATATATTTTTCATTTGTAGACAGCAGCATTTTACCTTTGTAGACACAGCATTTTTTTTTACATTTGTAGACAGCAGCATTTTATATTTGTAGACCGCGGCTTTTTACAGTTGAAGACAGACACCATTTAGACGAGTACAGCATGTAGATAAAGACAGCATTTAAATGTAGACAGCGTTTAAAAGTAGACAGCATTTAAATATGTATACAGCATGACACAGATGCAGACAATACTATACAGCTATAAACATTGTGTACGGACAGCTGTTACATAACACAAACTTGCCTATGGAAATAAGTAGCTGCAAGTCATTAAATTCTGAAAGGCTTCTTGTTTTTTTTTTCTCTTCAGGCTTTGACCTTTGTTTTATTTTTAGCTTGAAAAAAAAACACGACTGTCCTGAATACCACCCCCCCCCTCCACCCCTTTTTTTCTCTACGCTTTGAATCTTCAATAACGTGGGTTGTTTTGTTTTTCTATAGTGAAAACACATTGCTAAATTGATTACACTCCGATTTTCTTTAGCAAGAAAACACGGCCTGTGTTGAAACCCATGTTAGGCAGAATACAAATCTATCAACGTTGTAACTGAAACAGACCCCCCCCCCCCCCCGACCACCGAGTTTTCCCTCCTTGTGCGAAATAAACTATTCCCATTCACCAACTCTAGATCTATATGCAAATGTACTTTTGTGTGTGACCCCCATCATCGTCTGCGACGTTTGCATGAGTTGATTAATCAGTGGCAGCCGCTACAGGTGATTCATGTCGTCTGGTGGCTTCATTAGTGGTTAGATACCGCACGCCCGGGGGGGGGGGGGGGTCAGTCACTGACCGGGTCAGCACAGTTTGATCACCTGCTGGCTTGAGGATATGGCGGCGTCAATCAGGAAACTACCCAGGGGCGTCTCCAGACCAGGTGTCACTTCGTGTGGTAATTCGGGGTGGGGTGGGGGCCAGTGTTTCTTCCAGACTTTTTTCTCCGGGGGGGGGGGGGGGGCACTTGAAATTTTCGGGGGGCGGTAGACTTTCCCTGGGGGGGGGGGCGGACACTGTTAAAAGTATATATTTTCTATATAAATTATATAAATTTCATTTCGTTCGGGGGGGGGGGGGGGGGGGCGGTAAAACAAATTTCGGGGGGGGGGGGGGAGATCACCCCCCCCCCCCCCGAAGAGATGCCTGGAAGAAACTCTGGTGGGGGGGGGGGTGGTGTCGTCAGCCCAACCCAACTTTTGTGACGGTACCAGTATAGATTAAGTAAATTGACTTATGGGTGTCAGTTGTCCACGATTGTGGACAATCGTGCATGGATCACCGGGGTAAAGCAGGGCGTCTTCAGCCATGGCTTTTAGGGACACATACGCTTATTGTGGTGGGTGGGGGATGAGCTAATACATCGGTTACTTCTTAATTTTTGAGGGGTAACCATTTCTAAACACAGTGGCGCAATTTTCGTCAATTTACTCAACATGAATTCTAAGTCAGCGATCTGTTACTTGTACTTGGTTGAGACGTGTGAGGCCCATGTTTTGTGGATTCTTGCAGTGTTGCCAGGACAAATTCTACAATTCTGGCCTATGCTGGGCCCAGGAACATTTCACTTCCTATACAGAGTTTCTTTCATGAATATCTCCGGAAGATATAACTATTAAGAAGGGTTTGGCGAATGAGTATTTGAAACCGGTGGTGTTCGGTACCTCCAAAAAAAAAAAGTCAAGAACCACTCATCTACATCAGGGGTCTCCAAACTACGGCCCGCGGGCCGAATGCGGGCCGCGAAGTCCTCTCATCCGGCCCGCGGAGATCTTTTTGTCCAAGGAAAAATCGTTTGTTGATGATGGCTGAGGAACTTTGCCGAGAAAAATCAAAGACACATCTGGAAGAAACTGGCCCCCGAACTGAAATTTGATAGTTAATGCGGCCCTCGGACTGAAAAGTTTGGAGACCCCTGATCTACATAGATGCGCTAAACATTAGTTAGACACTTAAATAAAATACTCTTAAATGATAATTATTTATGTAGTTAGTCTAGTTGTTTTTTTTTTTAATGAAAGGGAAAATGTGAAAATACTTTTTAAAAACTTTAATAATTTTTTCCCCCTCACAATCAGAAAATGAAGCGCTGGAAACTTGTACTTGCCCTATGTTGTATTTACAAGTTTTACAGTGAAATTGTCTAAATAACGACGTATTTGTATCTCAGTTCTAATGAAGAGCCGCTGGCACAGATTGTAGCTCTTTGATTGATAATGATAGGGTAATGATAGGGATGGCTAATATCTGTTTGACCAGTCTTGGTGTTGGGAGCTGTGCTGTATGAGAATAATTTAACACTCTTGTCTTCCCCCCCCCCCCCCCATCTCCCGGATAAAATACAATTTAAAATACCCCCCCTCCTTCCCGTCTCTGTATAGCCAAATAACAAAAAAAAATAACAAACAAAAAAATTAAACAGGATGAGTTAATGCTGCAGATTATGCTCTTTGTGGTCGTTTAACTAGAAATTGTTGGTCTTAGATATTGCACGTACTATATAAGATCCCGCCACATTTAACGTTACGTAACAAAATATGTATGTAATATCTCCAAACACCTCGTGTCATCCAAGATTTTTAGTGACCACCTTACTCTCTTCATTTTATTCTTGTTCTTATACTCGTCAAACATTGTGTGTTTCTAATATTTTTATTGATCGAAATCTTTTTTTTTTAATATTCGGGACACGTCGTAAAAAGCAAAAAAAAAAAAAAAAAAAAAAAAAAAAACCATTGTATTTATACCGATTCAGTTTGGCCAACAAGTTCACAAAACTTTTAGAAAATCTAGTGCCTATACAATGATGTTCATTGACAATAAGTAATTGTATTATTTTGATGCTACAAGAGAAATAATTAAACGTTTTGAAAATTTATTGATTTATATGTCCGGACTAAAAAGCCAAATATCTTTTTTTTTTCGTGTCAATTTGATAAGGTTTTAGTTATTTGTTGTGTTAGGTTACATAGCAGTAGCGTAGCGAGGGGGGGGGGGGGGGCGGGGGGGGGGGGGGAACATATGTCCCCGGGCGCCTTAGGGGGCGCCAAAATGGGTTGGAAAATTGGAAAAATAAATAGAAAGGTTGAGGGGGGTGCAAATCGAAAGATTGAGGGGGGGGGGGTGCAAATGGAAATCTCGAGGGGGGGGGGGTGCAAATCGAAAGTTTGAGGGGGGTGTGCAAATCAAAAAGTTTGTCCCCGGGCGCCGGGAAGGGTCGCTACGCCTCTGTACATAGGTGTTTGGATTATTCTTGAAAGCAAAGTTTCCGTAGAAGGTAAACAGCTAACAAAATTATCAAGTTTATAAATCTTAGGCTCAGATGACGTATGAGACAACAAAGTTAATGAAACAATATCGCAACGACAAATGAACGACAGAATTTAGATATTTTTATTTTTTCTCCGTTCTTAATTAATTGTAATATTGGGAGGAATTTCCAACACAATTCTAAGTGTTACGTGTCAACTCTTTATGCACCATATAGGCCGTTGACTCCTATTTTAGCCAGCTTTGCTTTATAGTTTTGCTTTTGCCTCCTCGAGAACAAACTACTAGGCAGCAGTAGGGTGGTTTTGGAGTTTTACTCTCCGAGATGGGTTGCTGTCCCCCAGCTATCGAGCCTCATCTGCCCGGGGTTCAACTGGGGACTCATCGGTTTAGCAGCCATTAGCTTTACCTACCCGACCACACAGACCCCTGAATTGTTACACATGTTTGTGTACACATTCGGGTGGTCGCTAGTTTTAAATATTGTTGGCTATATTCTACATAGCAGAAAAGTAATTCCCTTTCGAACGTGACTGTCAATGGGGCAGGTGAAACAGAGCTCACCTGTTTCTGTGACCTCGGCATGTGAAGGGATAGTGTGGTCAGCACAATACCCTGCCGCCTTAAATTTCTCCAACATTTGATCACGTCGTCCCATGCATATTTTGCATAGTTGTCAATATTTCTATAACAACATAAGCCGAATAACTAATGCTGTCGCAAGATCATATAAGGCTCAGCGATATTATTTGTAAAAATTAGACGAGACTCAAAGACCTATTCACAGGTTTACCATGAGTAAAAGGAATGGAGTATTTAAATATTTCAGGAGCTAAACGTTGATCTGTAAATAAAAAATAATACATATACCTATATGATATACATAAAAAATATACATTTCGTGTAATTTTGCCCCTATTTGCGCTAACTTGAAAAATATTTTAAAATGTATTTGAAAAGAGGAATAAATGAAATTGAACATCTGTATTCTGACTTCAACACGAGGCTAAATTAACAAAGTTCATTAAGTGAATCCACGGAGTTTCAGATTCGGGGTGATAAAAAAAATGTGTTCTAAAAAAGTCTTTTATTTTGTGTATAATTGTTTCGAAATTCGAACATATCTAACTAGCCGAGAAGCCTGAATGACTTGAAATGGTTGATGGTGGAAAGATACCGTGTTGTGTAATGAAGTAATGTTAATGTGTAACTGTGACCGCAATTTTTTTTTTTTTAAACCGTTAGTTTTTACTCTGTGGATGACAGAAATCCCATATGAAATTATATTGTATAGCCTTTAAGTAAAAGTAAAGATTCCTATTTAGACCTCGCGTTCGACTGTAAAGTTCTGCACTGACCACACATTTAACACTGTGTATTTTTAATTAGGCCTATATTTTAAAAAAAATTACAATGTCCTTGTTTTTTTTAATTTTAACATCAGGTCATTTAATAATGAACGTTTGTGCATTCGTTCCCTTGAAATTGTAAGGTGTGCTGTTTTTATGTTATACCATAGTCAAGGCGTATAGCCCAATCAGGAAGTTTATCTACTATACAGGACCAATTGCTGAAATATATGCGCAAATAGTATGGGTGACACGTGACACGATTCGGGTAATACCACTCCATTAATGCAATCTGTAGACAAAGTGTAACTGTTTTTAAAAAATAGGTATAATCTGATGGCCAAGTGACGTTGACCGTCATGTACCAAATAAGTAACGGTAAAACAGCTGGCGTCTTCGGACCGATCCAGTCTGGATTGTGTGTGACCGGACACTATACTGACCACAACCACAAAGGAATACTCGATATACATGTAGGAGGTGGTACGTAAAGCTACCTGTAGTTTTTAGATTGCTGACCAGGTATGTGGGGCTAATTTCCACTTAGGTAACAGGCACCAACATAAACACACGGGGAAAAAAACCCACTTTCTAACGGTCACGCCGACCTACAAATCTTGGCTCCAGAGACCCGTGCCCGTAACTCATTAAAACATGTGCTCTCTTCTCTCACACACTAAAGTAAAATAAAACAAACAAAAAACAACCAACTAGGGCAATAGAGTTGTAGCTGTTTACAATGTTACGTACAATGTCAATGAAAATATCCACAAACAAATCTCATGAGTTGGCCCTACACTACGGTTAGCAAATATCGAGGACACAAACATAAGTATGAACTAGTTCCATGGGCGGAGCTGTTAGACCTCGAGTAGTGACGGGATGGGCTCAAATAACGTTACTTTGTTCTACAACTATTGTGTAGCACAATATGGATTTACGAAATGTAAACCAAGTTACAATTCTAACCACACTTTTCCGATTTGTGATATAAGGTCAGTACATGGTAATCATACTGAGAGCCTAGGTCTACCGCAGGAGAAGGTGGATTCAACCATACCAACTATGGTAGTGACCGATCTAACCTAAACCTAGGTGTATTCACGTGTTAGTTGGTAGGCTTAGTGTCACCTACCTTCCTCTCTACCTGTAAATAACGTTTAGGGGAGCTTCTACTACCGGATAGGGTTACTGACATTCAGCGCAAGGGTAGGATTAGGAGGTCATCGGCCCCTAGGGGTAGGGACCTGGAGGTCATCAGCTTTTAGGGGTAGGGACCTGGAGGTCATCAGCTCCTAGGGGTGGGGACCTGGAGGTCATCAACCCCTAGGGGTGGGGACCTGGAGGTCATCGGCCCCTAGGGGTGGGGACCTGGAGGTCATCAACTCCTAGGGGTGGGGACCTGGAGGTCATCAGCTCCTAGGGGTGGGGACCTGGAGGTCATCAGCTACTAGGGGTGGGGACCTGGAGGTCATCAACTCCTAGGGGTGGGGACCTGGAGGTCATCAACTTCCACTGCACGGGGGGCGGGGGGAAGCATCCTGCTAGAGGTCATGTGACAAATTGGACAACAAAAGTATAGAACCACGTTCACACTGAACCGAGTGCATAGAACAAAAACCTCAGTTATACAGTTGATCCAGTACATTGAGTGAGTAGCTTAGCAACAGTACACTACAGCTTACAGATATCTGCAATCTAACCATACAAATCTGCTTTGTGGTCTAACAGTATCAATCTGCTTGGTGGTCTTACAATTCAAATGTTGCAACCATACACATTTGTTAATTTAACAACAGAAATGCCTGTGATCTATCATGAAAAATCTACTAAGAGATCTAGTTGGACACACATTGTTTGGACAAAATTTTCATCTATTGGACATTAGGTTTACAATTACACCTTATCTAAATCTGTAAACATTGTGCAGATACGTGAAATCAACTTTCTTGGACTAAACAAAGCATGGTCTGCATGAATAAAACAAAACAAACTATTGTTTATTACCAAGCAAATTGTTAATGACAGGAATGGCGAGTATTAAAACATGTAAATAAATAAATGATTACAGTAATAATCACAGTGGTGAAATAAAAAAAACATCTACTAGTACACAAGACCAGCCGTAGCTGCTCTAGTTTGTAGGTCAGTGACATTATGCTCTACGACAGTCTGAGTGCTGGCAACATACTGGGTGGTCAAGCCACTGGACAATCAAGCGGTCTATAGGACACAGGGTGGTCAGGTCACTGGACAATCTAGTGGTCTATAGGACACAGGGTGGTCAAGTCACTGGACAGTCTAGTGGTCTATAGGACACAGGGTGGTCAAGTCACTGGACAGTCTAGTGGTCAACTGGACACAAGGTGGTCAAGTCACTGGACAGTCTAGTGGTCTATAGGACACAGGGTGGTCAAGTCACTGGACAGTCTAGTGGTCAACTGGACACAAGGTGGTCAAGTCACTGGACAGTCTAGTGGTCTATAGGACACAGGGTGGTCAAGTCACTGGACAGTCTAGTGGTCTATAGGACACAGGGTGGTCAAGTCACTGGACAGTCTAGTGGTCAACTGGACACAGGGTGGTCAAGTCACTGAATAGTCTAGTGGTCAACTGGACACAAGGTGGTCAAGTCACTGGACAGTCTAGTGGTCAACTGGACACAAGGTGGTCAAGTCACTGGACAGTCTAGTGGTCAACTGGACACAGGGTGGTCAAGTCACTGGACAGTCTAGTGGTCAACTGGACACAGGGTGGTCAAGCCACTGGACAATCAAGCAGTCTATAGGACACAGGGTGGTCAAGTCACTGGACAGTCTAGTGGTCAACTGGACACAGGGTGGTCAAGTCACTGGACAGTCTAGTGGTCTATAGGACACAGGGTGGTCAAGTCACTGGACAGTCTAGTGGTCAACTGGACACAGGGTGGTCAAGTCACTGGACAGTCTAGTGGTCAACTGGACACAGGGTGGTCAAGTCACTGGACAGTCTAATGGTCAACTGGACACAGGGTGGTCAAGCCACTGGACAATCAAGCAGTCTATAGGACACAGGGTGGTCAAGTCACTGGACAGTCTAGTGGTCTATAGGACACAGGGTGGTCAAGTCACTGGACAATCTAGTGGTCTATAGGACACAGGGTGGTCAAGTCACTGGACAGTCAAGCAGTCTATAGGACACAGGGTGGTCAAGTCACTGGACAATCTAGTGGTCTATAGGACACAGGGTGGTCAAGTCACTGGACAGTCTAGTGGTCAACTGGACACAGGGTGGTCAAGCCACTGGACAGTCTAGTGGTCTATAGGACACAGGGTGGTCAAGTCACTGGACAGTCTAGTGGTCAACTGGACACAGGGTGGTCAAGTCACTGGACAGTCTAGTGGTCAACTGGACACAGGGTGGTCAAGTCACTGGATAGTCTAGTGGTCAACTGGACACAGGTGGTCAAGCCACTGGACAGTCTAGTGGTCTATAGGACACAGGGTGGTCAAGTTACTGGACAGTCTAGTGGTCAACTGGACACAGGGTGGTCAAGCCACTGGACAGTCTAGTGGTCTATAGGACACAGGGTGGTCAAGTTACTGGACAGTCTAGTGGTCAACTGGACACAGGGTGGTCAAGTCACTGAACAGTCTAGTGGTCTATAGGACACAGGGTGGTCAAGTCGCTGGACAGTCTAGTGGTCTATAGGACACAGGGTGGTCAAGTCACTGTACACAGGGTGGTAAAGCCACTGGGCACTTGTCAAGTTACTGGACAGTCTAGTGGTCAACTGGACACAGGGTGGTCAAGTCACTGGACACTGGTCAAACCAGTGATCTATAACAGGCTAGAGACAAGCCCAGCTCTGATTTCCCCCATCTGACACAAGGTGGTCAAGATTATAAAACACCAGACAGTCCAATGGATAGCTTTAGACATAAGAAACTATACACTGTATCAAACATGCACATATCCTTGATGTGGCAGTGGTCACTTGGTTGTGCACGTGTCTAACATATACAATTGCTCTCATTAATAAAAACAAAGAAACTATAGCTTTTCCAACACTACAAGTGCTCAACAATTCTAATAATCCTACCAATTAGACACATCTTCCTTCAATACTTTAAATTTAAAGCAACAAGTATTGCCATTTTATTTTGATGCATTGTTTATGGCCAATTTATGCTGTTCCGGTGGTGTATGCAAATTATTTTAATTCTTTCTGAGTGTTTAAATAAATTCATTGAAAAAAAATATCTTTATAAATTCCCATAAAGGAGGCAATCATTTGTGTAATGAAATTAAAACTACAAAGATTATGGCTAAGTCTAAATTGCAAGAAAAAATGTTTGAAAAAAAAATTGTCATTACAAAAAAATCATGTATGGTTATATTGGATTATACATTATCAAGAACATTCATACATATAAAAAAATGTGATACTTTCTATTGCAAATAGGCAAATAACTTTCTCTTAAGTGGGAGCTGATGAAACAAAAATTAGCTGTTAGGATATATAGAAATAAATAAGTTTACACCTGAAAACATTCATTTTTTAAGGTAATACAAATTAGATCTAATATAATATACCTAGAGGCATACAATCTGCATTGCTTGTACTGACAAATGTACTAATACTGATTCTTTATAATGTGGGGGATAGAAGCAAAAACAATACATGATACTGTGCTGTGAGCTGAAAATAACATTAGTGTAGTGTAAAGAATGAGAAGAGTATTTTCATGCATGCACGATACATTTTGGATTGAACTTTTTTTAGAATCCCACGTACGGTCAACTGAATAAATTAAAGCCCTTTTTTTATGCTTTACATTATAAGGAGCTTTAGAAGCATGGTGTGAAATGTAGTTAGTGTTAAAAACTAGAGCCTACCCCCACAAAATGCAATCATTAGAGTGGCACCACTAAGATGTGACCAGCTATGAATTGTGTAACAAGTGCTGACGTGGTTGACTAGAACAACACACACACACACAGACAGACATCAGTGGCTCAGGATTTCACTCCACACACTTGCTGATGAAGTCCATGAATCTTTTTGCATACTGTTCTGGGTGTACGGTTGAAATTTCAGCACCTGCGCCGTGTTTGACTGTTTTAGCTGCCTGGGCAGTGCGCTTCTTCATGCCATACTTGGTCAGGATATCTATTAAGGCCATGAAGTAGACTTCACGTTTTCCACTTTCTGGGAAACAAAATACAATTCATGCATTAACATGGACTTCTATATGAACATTTGAGCCATTGTATTAAATTTGTGAAAATAGTAACCAAAATTAAATTGAAAACAAAATGTCAATACCTTCACTGCTAAGAACACCATAACGTTCTAGATCAGGGTCTAACTCTCCTAGGAACTGAGGCATTGGAGTGACAGGCTGGGGTGAGTCTGGAGGACTAGGAGCCCCATCTGGATCATCCTCGTATTCTCCCTGGTCAAATACAACATTTTACATCCTTTACTTATTGTACAAAAATATTTCTTCTACAATTATGTGACAGAAGATGTCATACATGTACAATAAACACAATATATTCCACTGCATGTAACATACAATAATTGAGCTATTAGCTTCAATTCATCAAAGATTCACCATAACAAAAATATTAGTGATAGCCCTCTAGGAACTGTTGGGCCTCAACAGAGAATAGCCTTCCACAAAGCTCTAAATACAACTTATAAATGGTTGATAAAGCTTAGCAATGCTGTGGCTCCCATCATGACTAAAGACATTTCTTTCCCTTTAAGACAATGGTGACGAATAGTCATCTTATATTAAACAATAATTGTTTTAAGCACTAATGAGGAATATGAGCACAGCTGATGCTTGGCTAAGCTAAATAAATTTCCATTAAAAAGTGATGTCGAAAAAAAAATCCACATTGATTTCATTTTTTTTCAAATCAAAAAGTTTTTGGTTTTTGGCTATGCACAAACTATGCATGTTGAATAAGATACACTTTTTTGTAATTTAGCTTCAAAATTCAGTTAATGGGTGGGCAAATGTATTATAAATGTATTACAAACCAACGAAATGTATACAATTAAAATAACATTTGTTACATCAAGTTTGCATTTTGAAATAATTTACAACTATTGTTGTGATTTTTTTGTAATAAGGGAGTAAATACTATTTGCCTGCTATAAAATGAACAGGTAATGATTTAAGATATTGACAGAAAAAGTTTGGTTATTTGAAAGTGAGCACCACCAAAGAATGAGAGAAGCTGTACCTGGTCTCCACCTCCAGCTATTGAACCACCAGCTTCCACATCATCCTCTTCTTGTTCCTCTTCATCAGCACCAGAAGGCATGGCAAAGTTGATCCCAGACTCATCTTCCTGATCCCTATCATGGATGCCTACTATAAGACTATAGTCCATCAAGTGAAGGCTACTTAAAAACTGAAATAAAAACAACATAAACTTTAGAAATATTTGTGGAGATTCAATAAACAATCTCATTGTTGTTTTTAAGAACATGATATAAAAATACTTTAAACCCGATACCAAATATGTATTTGAAAATTAAAAGAAATGTAGTCTTACATCTACATCACTTTGCAAGGTCTCTAACAACTTCTTCTTCTCTTCTGGTCCAATATGAATTTTAGCACCATCATTAAGGAAATCATTATCTTTAAACGTGGGTAAGGTTTTTAACTGAAATATTCATAGGAAGATATTAAATAGACCACCATGGTTAAAAATATATATTTAAATCAGAATAAAAGTAGAAAACAGAAAAATTATAGTTGAATGCATGCATATCTTAATGTTTTCATTTTACCAAGTCTATTGAAACACCATTTGTTATGTTTTGGATGTGATTAGGTCCCAGAGGTGGTGGGGTGGATAGTTTCATTATTGTTTCCATTGTTTGCATGCCTTGTTACAGCTGATCTTTGAAATACACTACGGTTTTATGTCACAAAAAATAACCATATCATTAGACTTAGGGTTGGATTTATGTATCAGGTGCATAGCTAGGTGTGATAAAAAGCAGCACACTCAAAGATTTCTCTACAAAAAAAAACTTACCCTTTCTTTTTCACTAGCTTTTCTGTCTACAGTTGATCCCTAGAAAAAAATAATTTGAAATTTTTATCAAACAAGGAATTTGATAGAATTTTATTTTGCTTGAAAGTAAACCAAACAAGCAGTGAAATCTAGCATGTAATATGTAAGGTATGCATTTTTTTTAATTCTAAAGAATTGGGTTAGATTAATATTTTTAACCTCTATACATGATGTGGCATTTTTAAAATTTAATAAAAAAAGAAAGTGATATGTAATATAGTTCTAATAAATCAAAAAGAGAAAAGACTAACCTTAAGGTCATATTTTTTATGTATTGAGAGACGAGGGCTGAACACATTGCGCATAACAACAACATAGGTTTCCACATCATTGACTGTAATCCTATACATGGCTAGGTACTGGGGTAATAATGTTTGAGCATGGCATTCTACAATATACTGAAAGGAGAAAACACTGTTTACATGAACATTCAATGTTTAAAAAAAAAAAGACCACTACAATAGAAAATGTGTTTAATGCTAGAATGTACATAGGCATTTAGTGTGTACATGATTTTCATTTCTGAAGGTTCTTTTTCAGCGCTTTTATAAAAATTATTAGTTACATTTTCTAGCATTGTTTTTTTTTATAGACAATCCTAATTATCTTATCAGTCAATTTTTGTAACACATAATTTAATAAAACTAAAGTACATTTTATTCAGTTAGTTAAAATGATAGAATTCAAGATAATCTTTTACATAACATGAAATAGATGTGAAGCACTACTTATAAACTTTAGAATGTATATTCTCATATTGCTTAACCCTTTACCACCCTGCGCATCAGATATGGCACAAAATCTTTTAGTAAGAGCACTGGCCATGGTGCCAGAAGTGCTTTTGGTAAGTGGCAACATAAGTTTTTCTACCAGTTACAATTGTAAATTTTCTAACTGAAGCCAAAAGTCATTATTTTATTTTACACAATTTATTCCTTTATCACTAGATGTTAATTTTCTAATTTAAAAAAGCAACACTGAACAAATACACTTTGTAAAATCCACGTCTTATCTTCTATCAAATGGAATAAATGAATAAGAATTTGATTATTATGTATATGATCTAGTAATATCAACAGCAAAAATATTTCAAGAATTTTAGATGTTATTTTTTCATTATCTTAACTAAAGCCTTTTGTTATGAACAAAACAGTCCTGTCTTCTGGCAGCTGAGGAAGAAATTTTTTTAACGTTTGGCCAGCAATGTTTCTTCTGTGAAAAAAATTCATGAGCACAAAACATAAGTAGTGCGAGGTGTGCTCAACAATGTCTTGAACAGGCTAATATGTATTAAACTACAGTACAGCCACCCAGATTACAGGGAGCAATGAAGCTATGTGCTGTATCTTGTCTAGACAACACCATGACATACCTGATGATATTGTTTAAGGAGGTGATGCATCATTTCTACTTCTTCTGAGACCAGAGTCTTTATAAAGAATTTCTTGTCACGAGAGACTAACATGCGGGCGCCACTTCTTCCAGGTGAATCACATGACATTGGCTGCTGCTTCGACAAGGAATTCTAGACAAAAACAATTCAATTTAGGTGGTCACTTTACAAATATAAACACATGTTACACTAAAGCTAAACAAAGATATGGCGAATATCTTATTTAATCAAAATCTTTTAGTTTACTATTCTTTAATTTCCTAACTATATCATTTACTTTATTAGAACTTTAAAAACCCTTTGCAGAATAGTACAGTATATATAAGAGTTTAATTCCTACTGATACCGGTTATAATAAAAGACAGTTTATCAGCAAAAAAAAACAAAAAAAACATCATTGTAATAAGTATTATTTTATTATGCTCTACATATACCCTCACATTTTAAATACAGAATAAAATAACAAGCATATGATATAAGCAACCTTATGCCATAGATTTAAAAAGGCTAAATAAATTTGCAATAACAAAATGGTTACCATATAGTCCACATCATCTAATCCGAACCTTTCTCGTAGATTTCTGAACACAATGGGACAGTACTCTTTTACTTTGAATCTGCTTGGCATATTATCTCTGAAATATTTTAATATTTTAGATTGATAGCATAAAAAAACTAATTCTTTTTTAAAAGTAGAAAGAAGCAATCATCTGATAGTTTTTTACTTCATGGACCTTGGAGCTTCTTGTGTTCGGGAATTTATTTTTAGACTGAAAAAAGCTAATCTTATAATCCAAACAAGATCATGGCCATCAAGAAAATGCAATACAAGAAATCAAATAGCCCACAAGCAGTGAAGTTTTGATGAAGCCCCCCACACTTTCTGGGCAGAAGCTTTGTTTATCTGTTTAGATACAATTGTATTACCAATAATAACTTTCTTGTAAAAATGCAGCGAGGTCTAGAGGGGAATACAATTGAAAGTTTTTTTTCTAAACAAAGCTATGTTAAAATTTTACATCTACATCTGATATAATTATGCATGGTTATGTTACACCTATATTTTGTCAGAAGATTCAAAAAGAAAAAGTCTCAAAGATTCACAACCCAAAAATGTGAACTCTAAAGTATAGGTCAATTTCTTTCAACCAAAATCCAATCAAACATCTCATTTAACAAGGGAAGTAATATGAACAAGGATTTTCAGATTTAAAAAATGTACAATTATACATTTTTTCTAAATACCTATAAAAAATTTGGAAGAGTTGAGACTTTAAGGGCGATAAAAAGGAGCAAAGAGCATGCTTTATATGATATCTATATGATTGTTTGCATGCTGTCAGGTTCATAATGTAAGTTACAGAAGAGGTTTAGAACTTACAATAAAAGGAATTTACTGGTCTCTCAAGAAATGTTTTCAATATGCCTATACTTTTTTGTTTCAAGATTATTATTACACTGAATTTAATAACTATCAGATTTTTTACTTTTGTTTGTATTTAAGTATTGTAAAGATGTAAGAGTAAACCAATATTGAAGTTCTAGATACAACACCACTATATTTAATTAATTAATTCTGTTTCTTCTAAATCAAGTAGACACCCCACACAAACAACTCTTGTTCAGCGATCTTTTTACAGTACAATGATCTTACTTCAAGAAAAGATGGGAGTTCAGTTTTTCAATTGTTATAACTTTAAGACAATCAAAACTATTTTAATTTAGCCCCTTAAGAAATGCCTGATATACTGCAACTTTGATAGAATGTAGCATGAAAAGTACTCACTTGTTATACATATGATTATCCACCCTGATTTTACTGTAAGATTTAAAATCATCTGGCATCAACATGACCCTTAAATTGACATGGTTCAGCTCATTAACCTGTGGAAAAATTAGATATAAGAAATTGATACCTGGCATCAAAATCACACTTAGTTTGACATGGTTTAGGCCGTTCACCTGTAGTTAAAAATATTATTAAAATGTAGAAAAAAAAAATACATGTTAAAAAGCAAATTACACTTATCTGGAGCTGATTATAGTTTATAAGTTCTTTTTTAAAAAAATAAGACTTAAAAAAGTACAAAAAAGCTCAGTTTTGTAATTTTCACACACACACCTACAAAAATACTTTAGAATTTTTTATTAGTTATGAAACATTACATTTTATTTTATGCTTATTGATCTTTTAAGGAGGGCTTGTCATAAAAAATATCAATAATTGCAGTTACCAAGGTTACCAGCTCAAGTATTCTGAGCTGAAAAAAATCAGTGGCAAGTTAATTTGCTCATAACTATAGTTATAATGTTGGAAAAACTGTTCAATTTTGGTAGAGAAATGCTGAATCTGATCTTTTAATTAAAATAATAACACTGGGAAGTAAGATTAAAATATCCTGAATAAAATCAAGTATCAAGTCACACGTATTGTTGACTATATAGCTAAGTTTTTTTTTTTTAATTTAGTGGTGCTGTTGGTGGTATGACAATAAGAAACTTCTACATTGGTGAGAATTAGCTTAAAAAATAAAATAATTTTATGATAGCTGTTTATATTGAAAAATAATTACCAGCATCAACTGATTTTATAACTTTTTAAAGAAGATTATTAATAACATTTAATTAAATATTTAAAGATACCATTTAATTAAACATTTAAAGATACTGCAAGTATTTTTTTAATATTATAGTTTAAGGTCTAGAATTTATAGATCTTATTTTTAATTCGACTACAGCAAATTTTCTATAACCTTCCCATATATAAAAATCTTGTCATTAAGCTTAAACATTCTAACTAGTAATAACAATAATAAGTATTGACCAGTTTGATGATAGTAACCTAGATAGCCTAGACTAGTAACATATGCCATTCTAATTCTACCTACATGGTAAGATAGGCAGGATGGTAGAAGTAATATCTGTCTGTTTACCAACTATTAGACCCACCATCAGCTGCTAACATTGGTTAAAACAATGTCACCAGATGAATCAGTTTACAGACTGACTGTTGAGTTTTAACTTTAGTCTAGGGATAGTGCCAGAGTAGTGCCAGAGACAAAGGTTGTGACAGTGCTTCGCTAAATAATTTTAAATGATTGTAGTAATGTAGATAGTCAGATATGGCTCTGGCAGCAATGATTTTTTATTAAGCCGAACGTAATATTTTACAACTTTTTTTACAACTTTTTTTACATTTTACAACTGTTTTATTATTCCTAAGCTAACTTATTCCATTTCAAAGTATATCAATTACAAGTTAACTAAGCATAGCATATATGGTCCAAACTAATTTACAGACTGAAATAATTTTGTTAAATATACAACTCATTCATTTTATATCGCCAAAAATAGTGAAAAAGTAATTTGACAACTAAGTCTACAAATAACATTTAAGTTAAACTGGTTTATATTCTCAGTTTCTTGTGGTCATTATGCCTTGCATTTATTTTGAATTCACTGATTTTTAAAGTCATTGTTAAAATGCTTACTCAGTCAAAATTACATTAAAACAATATTTTGTGTTCTCCTCAGTAGAAAAATAAGTATGACAAAGATCATTATAATGTATGATGTCATCAATCTTAAATTTAAATACAAATTTCAAATAATTATTTTTGTAGTGCTGCTTTTAATCAAGTATGCTGAATTTTTTTTTTATTATACCTTTGCATTGAGATGAAAACTGTTTTTTTATTCCAAATCAAGTCAGCTGTTCAGTTAAAAAGGAAACTTAGATAAGAAATTAACAAAACATTATTTATTTTTTTATTTACAGGTTACCATTAAATTAATCAGGACATTGATTCTATATTTATAATTATTAGTTGATAGTATTATGCTAGACAGATTAATTTTGTGCCTTCACCCCCATTTATAAATAATTATTCCCCCCAATATGTAAAGGTTGGGGTGCTTTCTTTTTACCAGTCACTCACTGTCCCTTAATTTTATTTTGATGTCCCACAAGTGATGTAGAAAAACAGTTAATAAAGTAAATCAATCTGTCGAGCTAATTAACAATCATTATCAATCTTTTCTTTTTAACTTTGTCTGAAATGGAAATTGAGAACATTTGACACTTAGTTTTTAAATTTCAATATTGTCTTCTCAATGCATGTCTAACTAAAGACTCTTCCTTTATAACATAATTAAAAATTAGTCAGATAGCTAACAAGCTTAATAAATAAACTAAAACTACACGCCACAACTAATATAATAAAATATAATTATAAGCCAGGCCTACTCTATATAAAATAAAAAGGCCAAAGCCCTAGGACCCTAATTAATATAATAATAGGCCTAATATTGAACTTGAAATGTGAAAATTAGCCGTACATAAGCTAAAAATTTATTGTTTGGATAACTGAGGATACAGAGGTTTTTCTGAAAAATGGGTTTGTTATGTTGTTAGTAGTAATAGTAGTGTTGAAATATCTATAATTTTTATGGTTAGAAATATGGGTTAGGCATATGGTAGGACTGGAGTTGGGGTTAGCTTTGACATTAGCAAGCTTTGAGTCTATATTTTTGAATTTAGTTAACTAAAAGAACCAGCAGCCTCGCCCCTTTTTAAGAAGATTCTAAGTTCTAAGTATTATCTGCTGATGACACTCATCAATAAAAATCCCCATTTGTTAAAAATTTCATTGGGCCAATAAGTTTTAGATCTAGATCTAGTGTCCACTCAAGTCACTCTCTAATGGGCAAGGATGTGTTCTAGGCAGTCTAGGGCAAGACCTATCAATATTTTTATACTATTCATAGTTTTACAGAACTGTCAGTTAGTTAAATTATTGGCCAGGAGCTGGCAGGAAGTGGTTTGTGTTGTACTGTGAACTGACTACAGTTTATGTAACAAGTAAACCATAGGCCCTCAAATGTAGATCTAAATGAAGTAATGATCTTTAATAAGTTAAAAAATTAACTCACCGTGTGATTTACACCCCACATCAACACACTCAGAAGAGGTTCATTAGCTCTGAATAATTTTAGCTTCGGCGCAACAGCCTTGACTTTGATTTGTTTCCTCTTTGTTGATGACATTTTCTTATTTAAATGAATATTGCACTTAGCCGGTCAATCAATAAATCAGTTTTACGAAACCAAGACAATTTGATTAGGAAAGCTAAACGGTCCCATAAAAAAGAAACATACGGCTAAAAAATTCAATCACATTCTCCGTCGGTAGGCGATTACACTTTGTAAACAAGATGGCGCTACCCAGCATTCATCAAAATGCAGGGTGAGCAACTCTGAAATATCAATGATCTTCGCCTTGATATTTCGAGTTCTAGATCTATAATTAACTATGCAAAAATCGAGCAGGTCTAATGGTTGTCTTGTGAAGATAACGCATATTGATAAAATCCTGTCGCATTGCTAAAATAATGCAAGCTATTAAAAATGGAGGTCTGCTGTACAATCATGTATCTAGATCTAGAATCTAGATCAGTGGTTCCCAACCTTTTTCAAGTGGCGACCCCCTTTTATAAAAAGTAAGTGACCCGCGACCCCCATAGAATTAAAAAGCCGAAATTAGTATGGAAATTAACAAGCACTAAAATAAAATTTTCTAGTAGACTTTCAATATGAACTACTTTTGATAACCGTTTTAATAGCATGAGTAAAATTGCATACTATTCACTAAACCTTTGTAGTTAAGTTTTTAGTTTAAAAAAATTTTGTTAACACCAACATATGTCATTATAATTATCTTAATTTTGTTTTTAATCGAAGAATAGTGTTGAAAATATATTCTCGAAAAGTCAATCAATTTTACGTTTGGGTATGAATGGTGAATACTACACCAAATTTGTGTTTGCAGTTTTTCATCTTACTCAGAATCATTCTGCAAATCAAAGAATTCATCTTGTAATTCATCGGAAATGCTGGCAACATCAAGGGAAGAAGAGAATGGGTAATGCATAAAAGCAGATTCTTCTTTTTTCAGCTCAGAGAAATAGCGATGCAGTTCGTTTTCAAGAGATTCAAGATGCCCAGAAATCGCTTCTTTCAAAATTTAAATTATCTCACAATCAGATTCATCTACCACACCGCAGAGTTTCTCAAATTTACAATATTTCCAAGATTTATTTTCTTTACCGATTTTGCAGCTTTGATAAAAATGCCCCGAGATTATCATGTAAAGTTATAATATTCGTTCATTTTCCCTGAAGCTTCAGGTTAAGCTTATCTTGATGTTCGAACACATCTGCTAGGTATGATACTCTCTCCAACCACTCTATGTCGTTTTAAGTATACCACAAAGTCTGGTTTCCTTTGCACTTCCAAGAACAATTTGATTTCAGATTTCAATTCAAAAACACAATTTACAATATTTCGTGTGACAGCCAGCGTACTGTAGTGTAGAAGAGCAGAACCTCGTGATCTATATTAATTTTTTGCTCAGTTCTTTGAAGGTTCCAGATTTTATATAATTTACGACTCATCCTAGCAATGGACTCTTGATGTCGATTGGTTAGGGCAGTGGTTAGGGAGCTAAATCTTTTCTGTTTTCTGAAAGCCCGATTTTGAGCTAAACATAGATGGCGCACCATCCGTACAAACCACCACAGCCGTTCTGAAGCCCCCCCCCCCCCCCCCCGAAAAAATTCTACCGCCCCTCTCCCCCCCTTCTTCCCCCGAACGAAATGAAATTTATATAATTTATGTAGAAAATATATACTTTTAACACTGTCCGCCCCCGCCCCCGAAGAAAGTCTACCGCCCCACCCCCCCCCCCTCCCGAAAATTTCAAATGCCCCCCCCCCCCCCCCGGAGAAAAAAGTCTGGAAGAAACACTGAACTCACGTCTGTTGATTTATCAACTTGAAACGCAAACAATGGTGAAAGCTTAATTTCAATAAAAATGTGTTATTTAATATTTACGTACATGCAGCGTTTGATGAGATTTTCTCCTGTTTTTTTTTTTTTTTTGCTTGGCATTTTCTATCGCGACTTTATTTGATGCTTGCACTAATGCTGGTGAAAACTTCCTGTTCGATCAAGTCTCTGGCGTTTGCAACTAGCTTCTTACCGACGAAAGAACTCCATATATTTTTGGTGTGTTCCGAATGACTCGTCTCAAATGACGTTTTAGTTTTGAAGATTTCATAGATTCGTGACTGAGAACAACTTTGTACAGTACATTTCCAGTGATTTTAATGAAGCCGAATTTCAAAAATTCTTCTAAATATTTATGTTTTGTTTCAAATTACTAAGGTTTAGTATACCAATTGGCGACCCCCCAGAAAGACCTTCGCGACCCCCAGGTTGGGAACCCGTGATCTAGATCTAGATCAAGTTCAGTAAAAGGCAGTAAAAGCTTTTGAGAATCAGTGCACTTGGCATTCAAAATAAGGAAAGCAGTTTGGGTAGCAGCGAAAAAGATAAAAAAAATAACGTTAGATGATCGTTAAATGTGTAATGAAAGACTACAAGCATAGCAGGTTGTTTTTTTTTTCAAAAAGGCAAATGTCTCATTGTGAGGGGGCGCACTTAGGGGTCATCCATAAATGACGTCACGCTTTTTTTGACGATTTTTACCTCCCCCCTCCCCTCCCTCACACATCTTCACAAAAAGCCAGACCCCCCCCCCCTTCCTAAAATGACGTCACACCTCAGCCTACACCCCCCTCAAAATTGCAGTTGAATTTTTGTTAAAGCATCGATATTTTTCCAAAATCTAGTCTGAACTCTGTCAACATAGAGTATTTCAATCAATTCCTATTACAATTTATTAAAACAGTTTTCTAAAACGCGAAATAACGGCTAAAACTCGTTTTCTAATATTGCTTTTATATAATGCAAAAGTGTAACGTCGCACCATCTGAACCCCCCCCCCCCCTCATCACACACCGTCACAAAATTATGGACTCCCCTTCGAGTGTGACGTCATTTATGGATGACCCCTTAAAAATATCCGGGGGGTGGGGGAGGCACACTTCAGCAGATGCAGTCGTCAAAGTTTCTTCCAGGAATATCTTCGGGTCTGCCCCCCCCACCTCCGAACGAAATAGAATTTGTATAGAAAATATATACTTCTGCCCCCCCCCCCCCCCACCCCCACTGCCGGTAAATTTAGTCCGCCCCCTGAAAATATCAAGTGCCCTCCGTCTAGAAAAAAGTCTTGAAGAATCACTGGGTGTAGTAGAGTCACAGTGCAGCGGCAGGGGGAGGGTGACGCCAAAATAAATAAAAAGGGTAATTTTAATGAGAACAATTCTTCTTTTCCAGTTATTTTAATTGCTTCTTATGGTCGTATGCATCTTTAGACATAAGGGATGAGGGTGACACCAAATTCCATATAATTTTTAACTGGGTTGATTTGCAATAAATGTCGTCTTGAGGATATTCACCAGACAAGCGAGCAGGTTTTGGCAACAAATCAAGTTCCGCCCCTGTCTACACTATGTTTGTTATATTCACCCTTGAATTTAAACATGATTTTTTGTAAACTAAGCCCCTTCCCCCCCCCCCCCCCCCCGCCCCACACACACCCTCCCCTCCCACAATGGCAGGCTTAAGTTTACTTCAAGTGCTCCTTTGAACGAACCTTAAAATTGCAGCCACATCTTAAAATTTAAAACTCGAAGTAAAGATAATAATCATAGTTATTATAAAATTGTTGACGTCATTTTGTACAATTAATGAACCATTATTGCCTGCTTTGTTTTCTCACACAATATTATGTGCCTGTGGAGAATATTGACGTTCAATACTGGTTTCTTGGTTAGGAATAATTTAATGCTTATGTTAAAAGGATGTTTACGACTTTACGACAAAGGTGTCCAAAGCGAGAGGGGGGGGGGGGGTGATTTTGTGACATGTGAGATGAGTATGAGGCGGAGATGGCATGGATGGGGGGGGGGGGGGGGCAGATAGAGTGACAACACACTTTTGCATTTAAAAAGTTTGTCAGAAACATAATACACTTAATTTTAGCGGTAGTTTTTTTTTTTTTAAACCAACTATATTTAAAAATTGCATTAGAAATTGATTAATATACTCTACGATGACCGAGCTCTGTAAATATTTTTATATAAAAAAACTTCGATTTGAATTAAATTATTTTCATATTCTAGGTCGAGATATATATATGTAACTGGGGTGGGCCTAACTACCAGTTACAAATGATAACGAACGAGAAGCCGCGACGCAGTATGAAATCTGACGCAACCATAACAGGTGGCTTATTGGATCGGTCTGATAACAATCTCAAAGCCAACGCGTGCTATTTTGGGAAACGGTACGAGAAGTTTCAGACGAGCTGTCAACTTTGATGGATGGGACGCAGATGTTTTAGTGAATCGGACGGTACGTCAGAAACTGCGACATTAGTATTCGGATACATCGATTACAAGTATCGATTACGGAAATGGAGACAAGTACGACTACGATTTCAAGGCATAAATAGGAGGGGACGGCAGAACTCGCTCCTCTTCCCGTTTCGAGGCTCTTACCTCTTTCATCGCTCGCTTAGATCAGTCAGTCTGTGTGACTATGTCAAGTCGGTTATAGAACGGGTTAGCCGTATTGTGTTAAGGAGGATTATAGACATGTGGATTCAGTTATATGAAGCCTAGTGAAGGACTGTTAGGGGTCAGTTGATTCAGACTATTATTGAGAAGCATTCCTGTTGATTTATTGTGTTATTATGAAGCATTTCTTGATTCATGTAATAAAGGATCAATAGCGAACCTGCATCTTGAGTATCTATACTGTGGTCAATGTTGTCTAGAATGAGTGGTTAAACTCGTTAACACGTGGCACTACAGGCAATTAGGTCTCATTACATGTGGCGTTGCGAGCATGGTAACTGTTGGCTCGTTACAATTGGCGTTGTCGGCAGGATAAATGTTCGCTCGTCACAATTGGCGCTGCGATCAGGATGAATTCAACTAGACTTGCCGTTTAAGGCACCTATAGTCAACCTTGTGCATAACTGTGTTTAGTGTGTGTGTGAATTCGGACATTCAGGAACTGTGAAAATTGAGGAACGAGGAAAAATTTTTCATACACACACGGTAAGAAAGAACTCTTTTTTTTTAGTACTTAAGGAAGAAAATGTCTACTCTGGACGAGAAGCAGACCCATATAGTGGTCCTACCCAGAGAGTCCCATATTAACAAATTTTACGGGGACGGAGATCCAACTTTAACCAACAGGTTCAGTGAAGAGGTCAAAGCGGCCTGGGCCTCGAGACATATGTCACCAGAGGAAAGATTAAGA